GTCAAGGTAGAGCATAGTTCTTGGATATCTTCAACCTACACCACCACTGCACCTCATCTTATGGGGGAAAAGGTATTGAGGAGAAAGGACTATGGCTCTCTGTCTGTGATGCATATTGAGAAGCCTTTCAGCTGCACCCTCTTCACATAACGGAGTTCTGCAACCTTCTGCAGCAGGTTGCTGCTGGTCCAGGGCTGGCTGATGTGTTCATTTCTCCTCCATCTTTTTCCATGGTGGCAACTGTGGCAACCGTATCCACTTTGACTAGGTTCATCAGTCACAGTGGCAATGATCATCTACTGGGAACATAACGAACAGAAGAGGTTGTTAGCAATGGAATTGGTCAACAGTCACATCCATGATAAATGATGGCTGAATGTGCTTCTCCAAACAGTGAGGCATGTTGCATTCAGATAAGGAGGCCTGTGGAATATTGCAACTTTGATTTGGGACTTTATTTTAGTGAGTGCTCGACTGGTCATGGTGAAGATTGATAGTAGCAGAGGGAAAATGCTGGATAAACACTAGTAACCTTTTTCCCAAGCCCCACATCACCCACAAAATTGCATAATTGCAAACAAAATAGGCTTCCACCATTCTTACAGTTCAGTTGGAGAGGTAACCAGTTGTGTGGCCCTCTATACTGTAGGAAGTCTTGAATTAACTGTGTGTGATGTGGCCCACTGGTGTCTCATTTAAGGTCACCTGTGGTTACTTCTGCTTTACAGAGTTTTCTGTCTGCAATTTGCAAGGACGAATGACATGGACGACATTGCCTCTGATCAGTATTTGAACCATTAAAGCCCATCCCTGGCATATTGCACTGAATTGGAGCCTGCATTCTTGGCTAAAAAATGACATGTGCTCTGCCCAAGCATGGTCCAGCAGAATGTGGAAGCAAATGCAGGTTGAGCTGGACACTGTTAGTACCAGGCTTGGTCTGGTCGTCAGATTCCCTCTCCTGACCAAACCTCCACATCCCTTTCTACCTGGTGTTCCCTGGACAGTGTATCTTCGCAGAACCCCAGGCAAAAAACTGAAAGAACTGTAGATACTGGAAATCTGAAACAAAAGCAGAAATTGCTGGAAAAGGGTCACTGGACATGAAACTTTAACTCTGATTTCTCTTCACAAATGCTGCCAGACATGCTGAGATTTTCCAGTAGTTTCTGATTTTGTTTCACAGAACCCCACATGTGCTCAACCACCACATTAACCTGAATTTCCAAGTATCCATCTTACCACCTGAACCCTGTTACTATACCTTGATAATGACCACCATCATGCAAATGAAGTGGCGATGATGGTGGTACCCTATCATTCCCCCTCCTACAGCATCCCATGCTCTCTCATGAATTACCAGCTCTCCCCTTACATACTGAGATCCCCTCCATCACCATCCATGTGCCCTCCACATCCCTGGCTACAGCCCACAATCCCCTGCATTAATCCCTTACACCTCCCTCACTCCCCAGCCTATGCAGAGATGGATTGCTTGACCATTACTGGTTCATGTGGATGTCTGGCTGTTGCTAAGCTCATGCTCTGCGAGACTGCACTTGACCATCTGCACTAGGACCCCCAAATGCTAGCAGCATCTCTTGACTCCCCTAGGGACTATTCCCCTTCAACTTTGAGACATGACCATTTGGTTGAAGAGATGCAGAATGTTTGCCATGCAGGAAGCTGGCACATTCTCCAGGTGTGAGTTTGATTTTGATCTGATTTATTGTTGACACATGTCATACATGTTCACCCCCGACTGTTGAAAAGGATGACAAATTGCCTGGTTTTGTTTCTACAATAAAGTGCAAAACAAGACAGAACTACTGTGAGCCTTTACATTGTTGTTCATGGGCAACATGTTGAAAGACAAAACAAGGTAAGATGGGAATACTGTGAGCATCCAGGTAGTTGCTAAGCGAGCAAGTGCTAAGAGATGATGTGGCACCCCTGAGATGCAGCCTGGTCCAGTTTGCGAGATGGCTGCCTGTTCCTGTGTGCTGTGTTGTGACAGCGATATTGCAATGAGAGCTGCAAGTGTGGCTTAAAGTGCAGCATCACAGCACAGAGTCACATTGTAAGTGGATTAGAGATGTACCATTGGATGTGGACAGGCTGGCTGCTGCTCCCCCCCCCCAGCATCTGTGGATGTGGGTGGGAAAAGCCACTGCTCTGGGGCCTGTCTGAAAAGTTGATGCTGGGTGTCCAGGTTGGCTGTCTGGAGGAACAAATCACAATCGTGCTCACCAGGTGCACATTCTGACTTTTATTTTGTGAATTCTTGGCATCGAGAATTTCTATCATTCCTGTCAGTTGCTTGGTAGCATAGGAACTTGCATATTAGTGTCAATAAGGGTAATATCAAGCAATAAGCCCTATTGATAGGCATCTCACTGCTCCCTAACAACAATCCGGTCTCAATGCCTGGAACTCTGTTGGAAATGTGATTTCATGCTCCCAATGTTGAGAAAAGCTCCAATGGACTTCTCACTGAATTCTCTCAGATTCCTTGTCACTTCCCAAGTTGCTCAGGGTCCAATAGGATTCTTCCCACAAAAACTAAAAAAAAATTGTGGCAGAAGCTGTTACATATAAAAAGTCTGCTATTGTTCATTTAACATATGAGCCAATTTTAACACACAGCAAGGAACTTCCCCACATTCATGTTAGTTATAAATACTGCAAACCCAGACCCTATCATTCAAACACCAGTAAATAGTTACTCATACATACTTCTTTTACACTGCACCTGTTGGTGCGCCATAGTTTCTCACGCCATTCTGTGCCTGAGAAATACGCGCAGCTCCTTTGAATTTCTATGCTTCTGTCTTTAAGCTTTGCGAATTTAAACATTCATGTTTTGCTTTAAGGCTTGTTTGTTTTTTTTAATTGAGAATGAATTTAGGCAAAGAAATTTGCCATCCTTAGCAGGCTTAGACTACATGTATTCCAGAAATGTAGGTAATCTTAGCCAGCCCTCTAAATGGTCTAGAAAGCCTTTTGATTCAAAGACAGTTTGGATGGACAATCAATGCTAGCTTTGTCAGTGATGCCAACATCCCAAGATAACAAAAATAACAAAAAGAATAACAAAAAGACCAGCTTTCCTACAATTGGGAGTAATTTTGTAATTGTCTAACATAGAAATGAACATTAAGGTACATCTTATTTATGCATTAAAGGTCAATTATTTTCAATGTGTTATAGTGCACAGTTAATTCTTGTTTAGTATGGTTAAAATCTCAGAAAGTTTATTAACTGCTTTTACTTATTTTAACACATATTTAAGGAATATTTATGTGGTGCAGAACATTTGCACATGATTCATACTCTGCCAGGATGACAGCAGTGCTATTGCAAATGAACATTGTGTTATGAAAGGAAAAGTACTATATTGAAACACACTTTTTGTATTCTTTTGTCTTTGTTAAAGCTGCTCAATTTGTAATGCATGTATGCTTTTCTGGTGCACAGTTGTATGAACAAACTGTTTTTTTTCATGGATGTGCCTATTTTTGTACTCATTTTGCACACTGTGTTTGTACAACCATTGGCCATTAAGGTTAGTAAGTTTTCCAACATTGTTTTATTGCCAAATGTCAGAACTGAATGACCTCATATACTGATTCTTCCCTCTTAAATCCCTGGTCTAATTTGGCACTTCACAGAAAGAGTTAATTCAAAACATTGAGCTTTCCTCATGTTGAAGATGTGGAGTGCTGTACTAAAATTTGATTTATCACTTGAATCATAGAATCATAGAATGCCTAGTGTGGAAGAAAGCCATTCGGCCCATCAAGTTCACACCAACCCTCCGAAGAGCAGCCCACCTGGTCCAACCCCCCTACCCTACTCTGTAACCCTGCATTTCCCATGGTCAATCCACCTAACCTGCACATCTTTGGATTTATTATATCACTTCACTGGCTCCCAGGCTGGTTGTACTTTTTACTGCCAGAATGTGCCAGTGTTAATATTTGTGCAAAATGTGTGAGATTATAATCCTTGTCCACTGTTGTTTGATGCTGCAGTTCCTCAACTTCTGGTTCTTCTTCAGTCCTGCATTCATTACTTCTGACACCTGATGTAGGAGGGAAGGTCACGCGCTGGGAAAGTCAGCGTGGACTCTTGTGGTCTGAAAGCAGACCTGACTTCACATTGCACGTAGTTTATGGAATAGATCATATGGTTCTCTGCTGCTTTGCAGTTGTAACCATGAATGGGTTTACTTGAAGACACCAGCTTTCAGAGTCTGGCTCCTTCTTCAGGTGTCAGTGAGAGGTGGCATCAGACACAGAACTTATAAGCAAAAGATCAAAGGGTCATAGAACTGATGCAAATGTGTTGAACAAACCTAAGATGGCTGTTAAATCTTTAATCGGTTAGAAAGGATTAATACGCAAATTCCAGAATTTCTTTCAAGTCACTGCCCCAAGATAACTAATGGTTTTATTAATATATCAGAGGTGACATCTCAGGTCAGACAATGCATTTTAGGTGTGAGGCCTTGTTTAGAATGTGGCTGTGCATCAACATGGAGGCGGATCGGGAGCATGACTCCAAAAGCTTATGTCTTCAAATAAACCTGTTGGACCATAATCTAGTGCAGTGTGATTTTTGACCTTTGTCCACCCCAGTCCAACACCGGCACCTTCATGTACGTGGGTGGGGTGTCCCTGGAAAGGGATCATGAGTTCTGCCCAGCGTGCCTAAAGGGTACGTCAGGGACTACAGTGTACAGTAAATTCAGGAGTTGTTGTGGTTTGTTTTATGATTTGGGTTTCGCTTAGGTTTTACTGTTGCCCTAGGGGTACAATTAATATCAGAGCTGTCCTCATTGGAAAAAAAATGCTAGCTATGAGAATGAGAAACGCAACATCAGCGTTTTTAAATGTACGTTCTGGCTTATCTCGAGAGACAATAAAATATGCTATAATTAAATTGAGGTGGGCTACCTCCGTAATGCTCGAGTGCACTAGCACATGTAGGAAGGTAGCGCTCCACCCTCCAGGACAGAAGGTGGCGCCGCTCTTGGTCTGCCCAGTGGGAGGATCGAACTCGTTGGCGTTGGCTGACTGACTGAAGCAATGTCGCCGAGGTGAAGGTACCGAACTGTAGTCGGAACTGCGTGGCGGGTAGGGGAACTGTATTCCGGGATACCTTATGGAGAAGCCGGCACCGAGAGGAAGAGGGAAGCCTGTGATAATATCCTTTAATATGGGGCAGATTAGCGATGGGGTGTAACATAGGGCCGGGATCCTGGCAACTGAGAAACACAATAGAAACAAGCTGGGGTCCGGCCGGCTCAAAGAGCGGAGGCAGCCCTGGGCCCAGGCGGAATCTTCCTACCAGCGGCCACTCTCCGGCCCAGTTCACTTCTTCCACCACCGCAACCTGTCCACCATCTCTTAACCCTGTACGGTATACAGTGGTTGCTGATCCGTGAAGTTTTTTTAATTCGAGACTCATACTTTGGAGATTTTATTCTGAACACATTGTGTTAGTTGTTGGAAACACTGTACTTCTAGAGTTTGCGGGAAAGGTTCATTTTGTTGCTGAGTTGGTGCTCTGCAATCTGCCCTTTTGTGGTTTTGCCCTGCAGTGCTGATGCACGAGATCATTAGTTTGTGATGAAAACACGTCGTTATCGTTTGTAAACTTGTATATTTATTTCAAAGCTCTGCAGTTTTTGCGAAAGGTTTGTATTAATATAGTGTTGATATATGCATAGGTTAGTTAGGAATCTACATATGGTGTTAGCCGCGCCCCTCCGACCCCATGAATCCGAATGGCTAGCCTCTTGAGAGGATCAAAATGAACGGTGGTGGATCGTTGCACGATGAGGTGCATCAGAGCTGAGCCTCATCCTACCTCCAACTAGTGTCAGTGTTTTTGATGGAATCATAACATAGCAAACGAGAGTAGGATTTCTGTTGTTTCCCTCTTTCAGCTTTTTCATTCATTCACGTTGTGAATGTTGCTGGCCAGGCCAGCATTTATTGTCCATCCCTTTTGCCCACAGAGCAGTTAAAATTCCAACACGTTGCTGTGGCACTGGGGATACGTGTAGGCCAGATCGGGTAGGCGTGCAGTGTCCTTCCTTAATGGACATTAATAACCATATGGGTTTCTCCAACAATCAACAATAGTTTCATGAGCATCATTAGTCTTAATTCCAGATTTTTTTTTATTGAATGTGAGGTCCCCGGAATATTACTTGGGTCTCTGGATTAATGCTCTGGCAAAGATACCACAAGACCATGACCTCCCCTTAAACAGAATTGTTTAAATTATTTATTGTTAGTTCCAGGGTGTTGAAGCCAGTTGTAACTCTAATTACCACGCATCTTGGATTGTCTAACCTAGCATGCACAGGCCTACTGATTTATGTAGTTTAACGTAATCTCACATTGTGATCAATTGTTATGAAAATGAACTTGAATGTGTGATGATAATGTTCTGACATTCTGATGCAAATAACAAATTGGACTATGAATTTATGCATTTGTTTCAGTCAGAATGTTGAAAATCAAAGTTTCCGAAATCATTATTCCAATACTACAATTGTTGCTACATTTAGCACATACAGCAGACCATTAGAAAGAAACAACTGGTTGTGGTTTAACCTGAGAGTCGTCATGCGTCAGACGAGGGAAGAAGTTAAGGGGAGCCCTTCATAGTAACCTCAATTGGTGCAGGAATTGAACGCACGTTTTTGGTGTTAACTGTTTTGCAAACCAGTTATCCAGCCAACTGGGCTAACCAACTTTATTGTTTTTTTTTAAGACCCCTGTAGATTCAGTTTCTCATCAGGCGTAAGCCTTCTTTATGCAACATAATGGGTTAGAAAACCACATCAATAAGCCTTCTAGTTGTACATAATGGTTCTGAAACCTCTCAGGTGTTTCTCTATTTTGACATGGTGGAAGTATAGTGAAAGCCATCCAAACTGATCTCTTGGATCAGAAATGTAAACGACAAAAATAGGGGAAGGAAATTGAAGGAAAGAGTTTTTGGGATATATTCCAGAGTTATTCAAAACTCTAAAGGATACATGTTCAGGGAACTGCATTGTTAATAATTCTGAAGTCATAAATTTGATCATTGGGTTCAGTTTTCACTTTGTAAGAGAATTTAGAACAGTTTACATTTAGGTATGTTATGTATGATTTGATGACTATCTAGAATATGTTGCCTGTGGAAAGTGAAAAATGGCAATAAATTTAGGATGGCAGATATGGAGAAATAGGGTTAAGGACTATGATCATCTATGTAAAAATCGAAAGAACTGCAGATGCTGTAAATCAGAAACAAAAGTAAAACTTCTGGAAATGCTCAGCAGGTCTGGCACATCTCTGAAGAGAAATCAGAGTTAACATTCTGAATCTGGTGGCCCTTACTCAGAACTTTCTGAGGAATGGTCACCGGACCGAAACATTAACTCTGATTTCTCTGAAGAGATGCTGCCAGACCTGCTGAGCTTTTCCAGCAACTCCTATTTTTGTTTCTGATCATCGTGATCTTTTGAGCTTTGGTTCGTTCAGATGGTCTCTAGTTCTCTCTTTCAGACCTTGTTTGTGACAGTTTTTTTCTATTCAATTCTATATGTCATTCGTAAAATGCTATAATCACGGCCAGACGTCTATTCAATTTTTGTTTGTAATTTCCATAACTTGCTTTCATTTTTCTACTTCAGTCAAACCATTTTTGACTAAAATTCACTGCATTTAATACTTGGTAAATCTTGCACCTCTAAGAGTAGCATTAATATTTTGCAAGTAGGGCGAGCATTAGATTTAAGGTATATTTTTTGTAATGTACATCATGCTCTATAAAATACTGTTACTGAGTTAAAATTTTCGAGCTCCCTTCCAATCAGCACTATACATGTTCCGATGAGTGGTCCAAGAAGGCAGCTCACCACCACATCATCAAAGGCTATACGGGATAGGCAATAAATGTGGGCCTAGTCAGTGATGTTTGTATCCCACAAATGTATTATAAAAGGCCGATTGATGATATATTGTGGACCTGTTTATTGGCCTGTACAGATATGGTTACAGTGATGATGCTCTCCCCTCTGAAGTTAGAATGACCCATGTTGAAACCTCACTCCTGGGCAGACTTCATACTCCTATGTTGACAATATTGTGTAATACTGAACAAATCCTGCATTCCGAAGTTTTTTTTGTCTTTCTGGTGTGATGTTAAACGGAAGCTCTGTGTGCCTCTCAGTTGAGCAAAGAAGATCGGCATAATTCAGAAGAAATTGCTGCTGTTGGCCTGAGCATCATTTATCCTCTCACTAGTATCACTAAAAATGGAGTAGTTGGTCATTTGTTTAATTATTGTTTGTGCAATTGAGAGAGAGAAACAGATTTTAAAAGTACAAAAAATAGCTTACTAGTTGGACTTTTATTCCCTTTAGAATATTCAGTGAAGGAGGATATGACATGCTTTTCACTTTATCGCAATATTGTAATTTCAAGAAAAGATTTTTTGGAATTGTACAGGCAATTTTATAATACTCGGTGTTTATCATTATGCTTGTGGACAGTCTAACTGTAAATGATGCTTTGCATCCTTGCCACCAATAACTTATTTCTTATTTCTCAGCTACAAGTGGGGAAATTGTTGTGCTATGGTTGTTATACTTATCGGTACGAGGAAACAACTGGCACAAATTGAAGAAAGCTCAGTGAAAAATATTTAAGATATGTACTTTGAGAAACTAAATTGATAAACAGAAATACATACTTTTTTTTCAGTACGAATTGCAACCAGACTCGTTAAAAATTATTGAATTTGTATTATAAGCAAGTAGTTTTATTTTGGTTAATAAACTTTTGTTTGAAAACAAAATTCACAGCATTGCTATTAGTAAGTTTAATATTGAGTTCATTAGTACAGTGAAGGACTTGCTAATATTTAATTGTGAATCTTTTCTGGGACATACTTTTGAGCTTTGCTGTCATTACAGAATGAAGGGAAATATCGTTATTTTAAAATCAAGATAGTTACTGATGCATTTTGCAAATGTTCTGTAAACTGCTTGCATCTAGATTATACATACCCAGTTAGTGAAACCATTAATAGATTTGTGGAACAAAAAAGGTGAAATCCTGAGTTTTTAATTCAGGTTGAGGTGATGAAAATGTTTTAGTCAAGATTGTAAAAGACAAATAAATTATAGTGGATAAAATTGAGTGACCTTTCTTAGTTATCCTGTGGAATAATGCGTGATGCATTTGATGCTGTCATACTCCTTACATTACCTTGAACAATAAAATGATAAATATATTTTACTGGATGAAAAATCAGCTGTGTCCTGTACTTTAAAATTTAAAATTGATTCTAACTGACTTTAGACATCAGTTTAAATTTATTAACATTGGAATTTGTCTATTTATAACAAAAAAAATGTAATCACATGCAGTGCTTTTATTTTAGTTTATGTTCAGATCTTCAGTTCAAAAGTGGATCCAAATTTAAAAAATAGCCTCAATTTTTGCCTTTATTTAAATTTGTTTCATTGACTGTTTTTATTGGAATTTTACTTGTCACTTTGCTGAATTTTGATTGATATTACCCTTGTTTTGTCACTGTTTTGCACTTACGAAATTTAAGCGAGTGGAAGGGAATTTTCAGTGCAGGACCAATGAAGGCTCTAACCAAATTGCTGTATCCCTTGATTCAATTGGTATCTTTAGTTTCCTGACTTTTCTTTCTCTGCTGCATCCAGCTTCAAATCTAATTTGTACATCTCTGTTTTCTTAAAGGGAAAATTTGGACATAGATATTCCCAATGACCAGCAATAATCAGTACTTTGATTACATGTTTACTTTTATCCTCCTTGATCTGAAATATATGGTTCCTTAATAACTTGAAAAGCTGTCAATGGTTCTGAGCTGAAAGATGGGCTGAAAGTACCCAGAGTTTTGTATCTTATTGAAAACAAAGGTGAATACGAGTAAGTATGTGCATGTTTTTATTTGGCTTTGTTTGCTGTGATTTATTCAAGTTGAGCTACTGTTCAAACAATGTCATAATTTTACCTCTTGTTCAGATATGACTGTTTAAATGCACATACATGTGAATCTTTTCAATACGTTTGTGTGATCCAGGCTTAGAAGGGAATCCCTTTCACTGACCAAACAATCCTTTGTGTAAGAAACTTGTTAACGAGAGACGGGGTATAAGTGAACACTATTTCCATATACTTGTTCAAATAGACTGGAGTCTACTTGTTTTGACATTGCCAAGATGTCTGTGAGGTGCTATGCAAGTGAATGTCCTTGCTTGCAGTAAACACACACCAATTTAAGAAAAGGTGTTAAAGTTGTGGCATTGCCTATCCCCAGAGTACTAGGCATGTTTGGTCAATGGATAAATTGCTGAATTGTTAGACGAGAATCAAGTTATGTGGGTGTAGGGTGCAGTAGTGTACCTCATGAGCTGAACCTATTCATCATTATTGAATAATGGATCAGACAACAGAGACAGTTATGACCTCTGACCGCTCTTACTTGCATCATCAAGTTCAAGTTTTCTGAGGTGTGTACTTCTAGAAATTCAACTTCTGTTAATTTGCTGCCTCCAAGCAATTTTATTCCCGATGCTGAACCCTACTATGGGCTGACTGCAAGTTTGTTCTGCCCCACACCCTCCATAACTCTTCCATCACCTAACCAGTCTCCACCAAACTTGTTGCAATGTTCAGAATACATTTTGACAAGTTTTTGTTTTCCTACAGACGCCTCTGCCAATTATGTTGTAATCGGAAACTGACGGCAACTTCTGCTTTTATCCTTTTTTAATAAAAACAAAAATGATGCAAAGTATTAGGCAAATTAGAATATAGCCACTTCTGATTGTTAGAAGTAGCAGAATTCTCTACTGCCATTCTTTTACCTTGTCATTAATAGATGATAATAGATTTTGGATTATTGCAAGTTAATTCACTGAAGTTTATTATAGGTTTGGTGAAGAGAAAGAGGATTAGCCAGTGTTGTTAGTTGTGGGACTTGTTATTTAGAGGATCATAGATTTCAAATTATCTCTATTTATATTTTTAAACAGGTACTATATTTGATTAAACTCCAGTGAGGTTTTTGATTTCAGGGTATATTTCCTCTTAGATTTGAACATTGCATATAATCAATTAATGTTATTTTTATCTAGGGGCAAAAATCTATCCCTGACCAATCTAACCTGTATGTAATTTCAGTTCCATGCCAAAGTGGATAATGTTTAAGTCTCAAGTCCACAAGTGGTCTAGCCACTCAGTTGTATGAAACAAATGCCAGTATCATGATAAGGTGACAAACTGCCACCAGCTTCATAACCATGGGCGAGAAGTAAAGGTCAGACCTGATAGCAGTGCTCAAATCCAAGACGGAATTAAATGTAATCTTGTATTGAACTGGTCCTGGCCACATCCTTTCTTGCAAGTAAAACAATCCATTCATACAAAATATAACAGCTTGAATGACTAGCGTTCCACACTGCATACTGTCTTTTACTGTCTCTAATAAATTTGTTACTGTTTATCTTTTAAATGATGAAAAGGTAATTGTAGTCAATTGCAATATTACGTGCATCATTTGTCGGTTGCAAACTATTCCAATGACTTGTGTTAATATTGTCTGACTACTTGGACTACAGTTGTTCTATGGACTGAAAATGCCACTCTTCCTGCTGACTGCATCAGACTCTTGCGTTATGTGCTGAATGCAGATAAGGAGGAAGACAAGATTGCTTTCTGTATAATAGTGAAAATATGTTTCATTTATTGAATTCCATTAACAATAAATTATACAGCAACTTCCAAGAAACAAAGTGTTCCAAACTTTGGATACAAGAGTTCTTACAGATATTGAGATATTAGTAGAGAAGTTAAGGGAGGTGACCAAAGTAAACTTAAATAATTAAATTTTGAGGAATTTGGGAGGAGGGGAGAGAGATATGGTGATGAGATCTAAAAGGAAAGTTCTGGAATGCAAAGATTTTTGCATCTGAAGAATCTTAGACAGCTGCAAAAAAACTCCACTTCAAATGAGACATGAAAGGATGCGTACGTGGGGTTGGGAAACCCATTCCTGATAGTGATCGGGAGGTGGTGGCATAATGATAATGTCACTGGGCTAGTAATCCAGAGACCCAGATTTATGGGTTCACGTCCTATCATGGTATGCTTTGCCCAACTTCAAAGTTACATAATATTGGGAAAGGTGATGAAGCGATTTCTCATTTTAAATACGAGTTATGTGCAGTTGGTAATGTTCTTGTGTTCTGTTGATAAGATCTGATATGATGTTAGGATAGATATGGGAGAACACAGGAACAGTGGTAGGCTATTCAGAACTTTGGGCTTGTTCTACCATTCAGTAAAATCATGTCTTATTTGTACTTCAGCTTTATTTGCGTGCTTTTGTTCTGTGTCCTTAGTTTTGTTGGGCAAGGAAATCAGTGTTAATCATAATCTTCAAAATCTCAATTGACCCAGCATCCATAGTTTTTAAGAGAGAGCAAGTTCAAAATTCCATTATACACACTGTCCTGGCCTCTCCTACCAGAGAGAGTAGCATATTCCAAGCATATCGAGTCAAGTTATCATTTTAAGCATCTCATCTAAACTCCAAGGAATACAATACATGTATGTGAAACTTGTTCTTTAAATTAAATTCTTTAAACTCTGGTGTCTATCTACATTTAACCCTTCCCAGACCATTAGAACTTTTTATGCCCAGAACTGAACATACAAACCAGGTGGGGTCTCATGAAGACTAAATACAACTAAATACAACAAATACATCATTTCTGCACTTCTGACTTAGTGTTTCCCATTCTGAATACGAGTCTAATAGGAATACCATGTCACTGAACTAATAGCCCAGAGGTCTGGACAAATGATCCAGATACATGATCCTATCACAGTAGCTGGGAATTCAATTAATTAAGTAAATTCTGGAATAAGAGGCTAGATTCAGTAATGTTGACCATGATTGCTGGGTTTTCTTAGAAATCTATTTGTTCACTGATGTTCTTTAAGAAAGGAACTTTGTCATCTTTGTTAAGTAATAAAACCAGATGGCCCATTCAGCAACAACCTGGATATAGAATATGAAAAAGGTATTCCATGGACGTTTGATCCTTATAGTTCCAAGAACTCCTGGAGACTTGTACCAAAAATGGAATTAGAGCAAAAGACTGGTACTATCATACAGAATCATACCAGCTTCACCAGCTGGTCCAGCCCACTGAAGGTGTTGGTGCAGTCATACAGTCAGTGGTATAGTGGCCCTGACATTTAGCTCACAAGTCATGACTCCAGAGCCCAATTGCTTTCATGGCATCAGGCCAAACATGGGTAAGGAAGCCGCCTCCTTATTACAACCTGGTATCCTTCCTTAGCTGATGAATTAATACTTCTCTATATTGAATACCTTAGAAGGAACATATAACAAGGGCACAGAATAAACTTTGGATAAGGACTTCAAGCTCATCACCAAGAGTGGCTGAATAGCATCACTGACTGCATATGTAAATGTGCAGTTCCGCCACATTCTGTCATGAATGGTGGTGAACAATTAAACAACTAATGGAAAGCAGCGATGCAACAAAATTTTAAAATCCTTGTTGGCATCTATAAGGAAGCAAGTGCAAAAGACTGAAACATTTGCAACAAGTTCCTACTAGAAATGTGGAGATTATCTGTTACTGCCTCCTGCTGAGCTCCCACAATCACAGAAGCTAGTAGTCAAGTCATTTTGATTCCATCCATGGAATATCAAGAAACAGTTGAGAGTTCTGGATACATGAAAGGCAAATGGGCCCTGACAACAGTGCTGAAGACCTGTGCTACAGAACTATCTGCACTGTAACCAAGCTATTTCAATACAATTACAATAGCACCTACTGAAGAAGTGGAAGGTTTTTCCAGGTATTCCCTGTCTTCACAAGGCCAGACAAATAAAATCCATTCAATTTGGAAACTGTCAGTCTATCTCAATTGTCAGCAAGATTTAAGGTGCCATTGATAACACTACTCAGTATTTGCTCATTAATCTTCATCAGTTTGTTCTTGCAGCCTTCGCAGAAATATGGATAAAAAAGCCGATTTCCAGAAGGAAGATCGAAGTGACTGCCCTTTACATCAAGGCAGCATTTGACTGACGGGGCCATCAAGGGGCCCATGTAAAATTTAGTTCACTGGAAAGAAAACTATTCCTTGGTTGCCATCATTCCTGACTCAAAGAGGAATGGAGGACAATTACCTGTGCACCAAGACCTCACTGAAGGAATTCCTCCAGGGCAGTGTCCTCAGTCCAACAATTCTCACCTACTTTGTGGTTAGAAGTGAGAATGCTCACCAGTGAATACAATTTTTTCTGCTTCCTCTTGTGATGAGAGTATGCTGGCTAGGCCAGAATTATTGTCCATCCATAATTACAATTGAGCAGGTGTCAATGAGTTGCTTTCTGATTAAAGTCTAGAATAAGAGGTTAGATTCAGTGATGTTGACCACAATTGTTGGGCTATCTTAGAAATCTATTTATTTGCTTGTGTTCTTATGTACTGACTATGAGCTTGTGGCAAGTTCAGCTGACTTTCGTGTATCTACTTGCTTTTTTTTTTGCCACACTGCAATGTACATCAAAAATATATGCTTTAAGTGTTGCATTAAAAAAAAAGACTTGTATGAGACTTGAAATTGGTTGATTGTGTGTTTGATGACTTTAGTTAGGAAGCACCACATTGTGCATTTGTTGAGGTAACACTTTTTAGATAAGCTATATAGACTACATAAATTAGCACGTTATTTACTTTAATGTTCCAGCTAAGCTGTGACAAATTGAAACGTACCACACATTCTGAACAGCATTCAGAACTCTGAAGGGTCATGACTGAATATGTTTTTTTTCTGAGTTTCTCCAGCAATTTCTGTTTTTGTTCATTATCCATTTTTGC